AAAAAAAAAAAAACCTGTTTGAAGAAACTTCCTCGCTCATGATCGTCCAAGCCTAGTCTTCCCACAGAACCTTGCTTGGTGCTGTTGCCCAGAGTTGTGAAAACAACTGTAAAGACCTGCTCCGGGAGAACACCCACCCCCACCCGACTCGCCCTTCCCGGGAAGGTCACACAGGAAAGTCAGACTCACCAGCAGGTGGCGCTGGCACCACGGAGGCCTTCAGCTCCACCTGGTCCTGGGGCAAGGTCACTACCCGGTTGTCTCCCGCCGACACCCACAGTTCTTCCACTGAAAAGTAATCAGGGACCATGCATGCCCTCACATGATGTGCCCACTCCCATCCCTGCCCCACAACAGGTTTGTTCTTAGATTCAATAAAACAAAATAACATGGTTTTGTATTCGTGCTTCATAATTTTATGGAAGTCACTTTTGCCCCCGGTTAGTAACTGAACTGTGCCCTTGCTGTGCTGCGGACAGACTTTGTGAATCAGAGCATCTAGGTGGGCTGGTGCTGGGAAGAGGACGTCAGGTCGAGTGAGTCTCTGGAACCAGGCGCAGGCTGCGGAGTGGGTCTGTCTCCCACCGCCCCAGCGTTCCTGGGCTCCCCATCAGTAGTCATGAGCGTTCCTGAGCCGCAGATCACACACGCAGTTCTGGGCAGCCAGGAGGAAATTCAGGCAGCCTCGATATATGAAAAGGCCACTTTAGCTCAAGCGGCAGGGACAGGGACTCCAACAGGAGCACAGGGCACCAACCAGCTCAGCACTTGGAACAGTGCTCCTGGGCTTGGTGCCAGGGTCGCCCCACTGTGTCCTGCCACGGTTCTGCAGGCCTGCTGGGCTGGACACTAGTGTCACTCATAAACCACATGTCACACATAAAACACGATGCAGGAAAAAAGCAGTGAAAACAAAATCTGAGCCCTCACCAGAGGTCTCAGCCACGGGGAGACGCTGGAGGCACAGGGGGCTCAGGCAGGCGCCCGAGGCCCTCAGTCCCAGGCCCCGGAGGCTGTAGTCACTGAGAGGCCTGGAGCCCTCCTCGGGCTCCCCCTCCTGTCCCTCTCACTGTCCAGGCCCCCTGTCCCACAGTGGGGAAACGGAGCCCTGGAGAGGCACAACACGCTGTCCGGGGCCACCTGGATAACTAGCCAGTGCTTACTGGTCCACCAGGATTTAATTAGAATTACTGGTTTCAGTACCAGATTGAACTGGCCAAGCACTGCTCCAGAGGCTTCCAAAAAACCATGGAATCCTCCCAACCTCACATGGCGGTGTGAAGCCACAGGTCCTGAAGAAATGGCCTCTGTTAAAGATCCTGCAGACGCATGGCCTGG